ATTAATTATCTAATACATATACACAATACAAGCAATAAATGATAGATCCCAAACATTTGGAAAAAAAATTAAATCTCATACATATTATTTTTTTATGAGTCTCATGTTTGCAAGCATTTTTTTACTATAGGTTCCACACTTATTTTTTTAATTTGTATGTTATATACAATTAATTATTTTATACATATACAAAATAAAAGAAAAAATGATAAATCTTCTACATTTATAAAAAAATATACTAGATCTCATATAAAGTAATTTTTTATGAGTCTTATATTTACAAGCAATTTTACTATGAATCTCATATCTATTTTTTTAAATTTTTATTATAGATTCTATATAAAATCTTATTGCATAAAAATCATATTTAAAAAAGTGAACAGTATCATAAATGCACTTTACAATATATTGATGATTGGGTCTGCGCTGCATTCATCCAAAAACTAAATAAAATATTTTTTTGAGAAATAAAAAAATCAAGGCTCTAACAACTAAGGGAACATCAAGACAATGGCGAAAAATGCAGGAAAACTTCTAAATTAGATAAATTTATCGGACCTGATTTGGGTCATCATCATTATGATGAGACTTAAATCATTTAAATTTAAATTTAAATGATTTAAATTTAAACTATTATTATATATATTATATTTATTAAAATAAAAATTTATAAAATAATTTTAATAAATTTTTATTTTTAATATTTTCTAGATTTAATTTAAAAAGTTCAATTTAATATTAAAATTTCATAATATATATTGGTTATTTAAATACACTCTGAACAATTTAAATTTAATTTAATATTGATATGAATTGCATAGAGTACATTTATATAATTAATATATATCAAATGAAAAAATTCTAGTATTAAATTAGACTTTTAAAATTTAATTTAAAACATATTAAAAATAAAAAATTTATTAAAATTATTTTATAATTTTTATTTTAATAAATATAAAATAATAATTTAAATTCGATACAGATCTCATCACGAAGATAAAGATCCAAACCCAGTCCCGAATTTACCTAACCATAGCAGTGGATCACGTGGGGAGCCAGAAAATGTGTTCCCATATTGAATATTGCTCAGCTCAATTTTTGCCCCTCACAACTAAATGTTAATCGTATAACTCTAAATTTTTAATTTCATGTGGGGCAATCCCTTCTTATCCCCAAAGTTCACATCATTAGAAACGTAAATGAGACAAACATTTGCTAGTCGCAGTGAAATGTGATCAGGCTAGATATATTTTTATTTACATGGGCGAAGAAAAAAAAGAGAGAGATATTATTGAAGCTCTTTCAACATAGGTGGACGCTATTAAAATGTTAAATAAAAAATTATTTAAATATTTTTAACAGAAAATCTCAAAATAAAGTTTATGATCAGCTTTTAAAGTCAAAATAATAAATCACAAAATCTCTATTTAATTTATTTTTAAAAGCCACATATTTCCATGTATATTTAAAAAAGGAAAAAATATAGTGCTTAAATTTATATAATACACTTTCTCTAATTTTTTTTTTAGCTAGTAGAAAGATAATACTAATACAGAGGCAAAGAAAATCTACATAGAAAGCGAAATAACAACAGGGCCAAACCCAAAAATAAAAAACAAAACAAAACAAACCACCGCAGAAAACGACACACCACCAAGTACCAACCCCAATCCTAGGTCAGGAAGCAAGCACGTCGTCACCAGAAACAAATAGAAACGCCAGTACTCAATTTGACAAATAAAGGATGGGGGTTCAAAGAATCACCCCATCGGTCCCATCCTTTTTAATTTTTATTAGTGTTTGAAATTTGGATCGGATATCGAATTAGAAAAAGCAAGGAGTTGTGATTTTTATAATTCAATTGGTTAAATTAATGATTAAATCTGTGACATAAAAATTAAATAAAAAATAATATTTATATGTACAAATATATAAATAAAATATTAATTTGTTGATAGTGTTTGAAATTTTGAATTCAAAAACTAGATGCCTGTACCATTGGAGCTGGAGGCAAAGGCATGTCTACACAAGCTCACGATCTCGAAGGAAGACGCTGGAGCTACTAGCTTTCGATCTCGATATCAGAGGCTGGATTGCTAGAGTTAGAGGCAAAAGTTGGAGAAAAAGTTAGAGATTGAGCTTGGGTCATAAAGGAGAGACTAGATATTAGAGAAGAGAAGACAAGAGATAATTAATGATTAGAGAAGAGGAATTGTAAATTTAAGCGACTTAATCTAAATTTTTTTTTTTAGCTTTCCTCCAATTTTCTAATCAAAATCTGTTCTCTCAAAATCAACTGAGTCAATTGAGGTCAATTCAGTTCAAATGCCAGATTGGTTCAACTAGTTGGACCAAATTGTTTGATTCAATAGGTGGCGGTTGGATTGTCCGATCTGATTTCAACAACATTGATTTCCTTACTACTACTAAGAGAGTAAAACCACTTCCTCCACATGACTTCTATTGCAAAGAGAGAATCACAAACATCAACCATGACAATGCAACAGCTCCCATAGATAGATTTAGATTGAACAAAAGAGATTTACGAGCGTGAGAATTTCCTTCAACCCAGGATCTTGCAGCCATGGAACCAAGCTTGGGTGCATTAGGGAGAAGCTTAAGAAAGCATGATTCTCCATTGGGCCTTTGAACTCCTTTTCTTCGCTTTGTCACCTTCTTCCTTCCCCCATCAACTTGACCAACAATTCCATAAAACCCATCCCATGGATAACAGTAACCTTCAACAAAAACACAAAAAAAAAAAAAAACCCAATCACCCTAGAAACTAAAGTACTAAAAATCAGACCAATTATTGAATCAGTCAAGACGTTGGGTTAAAGGATAGTGGTTCAACTGGGGGTCAGTTAGGAGTCAAACCTGTCTTAATTAAAATAAATTAATTTAATTTATATATACACAAATATTCATATTTATATATAAAAATGGATATTTAAATAAGAACCATTAGTTCTCATATAAATGGAACAATTATCCATAAAATCTTATACATGTCACCATCATCACAATAATAAGTTCAATAGTTTAGCTCAAATAACCTAAGAAAATCTAATATAAAATTATAATATTTATTTAAAAAATCATGATGATACAAATAACATCAAATAAATAGTAGCAAAAAATTAATAATAATAACATAAATACGAATTTGGAGAATGGATAACTAAAAGATAAAAAAATCAAAATATAATTGAAAATAAAAAAATATTAAAATAAATGACTTGAACTGATACACTAAATAAATGTATAATATTAAAATCTGATTAGTTACTGAGATGTATTTATCAACATATATTTGATAATATCAAATCAAAATTCAAAAATTACATCATCTAAGAAAAGTAGGGAAATCGTGCATTAATGGATAAATGTGCATTAGTGGAGATATTTGGCCAGTTTTAGTTCTTTTCTTCTCCTCCTTGTCCTTTTCTTCCGCGTCTCTCCTAAAAACTAAACCAGCTCTAGTAGCGAGATGAAGGCAATAGGCACTAACAAAGAACAAACACCAAAACTCGACGCCATGATGAGATGAACGATCAACAAGATAAGATAGAGTTCGAATCAGAAGAGTGACGGCCGATGAGGCAAGTTCAAACCAGGAGAGCGACGACACTAGAGAGGATAGTGATGATGGCCGACAATTGAGGATTCACAGACCAAGGCCAAAGAGAGCAACGATCAACTTGAGCTAGGGTTAGGGATGACTGGTGAGAATTTGAGATTGATTGCAAGTGTTCAACTTTAAAAATTAAGTTCATTTTTGCATTTTTCAATTTTTTTAAAAACCCCAAAATAAGTAACCCGGAGGGAGGGAGGGGTGTACAGAGTGGGGCAATGAAAATCCCATATAGGAGAGTCAATAGTGACTTTGTTGCCTATACTTTCTCTAATAAATTGATATTAGAGAATATTTTTAACATGATTTATCCTTTAACTAACTTTCATTTTTTTTTGGACAAAAAATTTGGGTAAGTTTAAAAGAATATTTTTAACATGATTTATTCGATTTATTCTTTAACTAACTTTTACTATCAATAATTTTAATTTATTTTGGAATTTAAGAGTCACTTGGTTTTATTTTTAAAGGCAAAAAGCATATTTAGTTTATAAGTTTAAGTATTAAATTTTATTTTTAAATATACCAACGCAATAAATAAAAAATGTATAATAATCAATATTTTTTTTGATAAATAATAACAGATTATTTTCACCTTTATATGATTCATTACTAATTAGTAATGGAAATTTTTATTACATGTTTAAAATTAAGATATTTTATTTCCACTTAATTAATTTGAATAAACTTTTTTGTACTAAATTTAAACTTTTTTTTTGGGAAAAAATACTAAGTTTAAAATTTAAAATAGTAAGATGTACTTAACTCTTTTGTTATAAATAATACAGAATTCAATAAATGTTTATCACAATTAAAATTTCTAACTCTTTGTTAATTTTATATATTTATTCAATTTTTTGACCAACATATATTTATTCATTTTAAAATTTATAGTTTATAAAATATATAAATAATAAACAAATGTATATTTATAATCAAATGAAATACAATACAGCGTGGTTTAACGTTTTTCGCCAAGAAAAGAAATACACTGTGGCCAAGAAAAGAATTGAACACACCAAATATTTCAAATCGCCCGCCCAATTTGGACAGTTAAGCTGGCTGATTTTATTTATAAATTATTTTTAATATATTTTATTAGTATTAAAAAAATTTTTAAATTTATTAACTCTGTTTTAAATATACACACTTTAATAATATATATTTTTTCTCTAACATTTAATAAAAAATAAAAAAATTTATAGTAAAATTTAATGATTTGATTTATAAATAAGATAAAAAAAATTTCCGACCTGAGGGAGTAAGAGCTTGTAGCCACGGAAAAATAACCAACGGTTAAAAGTTAAATCACCCTTATTTATTTCATTTCTATCTGTCGTCAGCATCTCCCTCCGGTCCCTATTATAAAATGCGAATCACCCAGACGTGGATCTCCGCCCCAGAAAACTTGTTCTCTGAATCTTTTTCTACGTTTGGTGCTTTTTTCTCAGCAGTTTCTATCTTCTTCTTCGAAAATGAGAGAATGCATCTCCATTCACATTGGTCAAGCCGGCATTCAGGTCGGAAATGCTTGCTGGGAGCTTTATTGCCTTGAGCACGGCATTCAGGTAATTCCATCTTGATCGGTGAAGATCTAGTACTTTGATGCTTTTTTTTTTCGATCCACATTTTCTAGCATTTGTTTGATTTGTTTTTCTATTCTTGGTTTCAAACCACTTCTGGCATTGGTTGTTCGATCGATTCGTTATATATGTATGTATGTATGTATGTATGTATGTATGTATGTCCTTTACAGGAATCTTGAAGATTGCTGTCAAATGTATCTCCGATTTTCAGAATCATGAATATGCCTTTGTTGTCTTGTTACACTACGTTCTATGGATCATTATGTCATCTATTGTACCGTTTTAGGGTGTTCTTGAAGCGATGTGATATCAGATCGCTGGCATTAGAGTTGCATTGATTTTCATTTGCATGTGACTTTAAGAATCTTTTGGGATTCGGAATTACTGTGGATATGATGTTGTTTGCAGGATTGTTTGTCATAAAGATCTCGATAAAATTCAGTTTTTCCATGCATTTGCAATTTACAATAATCCTGCAATTTCCCCCCATTAAACTTAAAACCCGATAAGTGCATTTCCAGATAACACATTTTAAATTTCTCGTCGTACAAAGTGTGGTTAAGCATTCGAGAGATTTGAAAAAAAATTTGATAACCGTTTTGATAAACTTGTTTTGATCTGAATGTCAGCTTTGAATTTTGAATTCCATGATAGATCTATATCGGCATTACGTGAATAACTGCTTTTGCTAGTTTTCTCACCTTTCATTCAGTCTAAAGTATTCTTCCATGTTTCAGGCTGATGGCATGATGCCAAGTGATAAGACTCCTGGTGGAGGTGATGATGCTTTCAACACCTTCTTCAGTGAAACCGGAGCTGGAAAGCATGTACCCCGTGCAGTTTTTGTGGATCTTGAGCCAACTGTCATCGATGAAGTGAGGACTGGAACATACCGCCAGCTATTCCATCCGGAACAACTTATCAGTGGCAAAGAGGATGCAGCAAATAACTTTGCTCGCGGCCATTATACCAGTAATTGCTCTTTCCCTTTCCACAGATTTCCTCCTCTTCACTCTCAAATTAAATGTTAACTTCTTACAATTCTCTTTTGATTCAGTTGGGAAAGAGATAGTTGATCTTTGCTTGGATCGCATCAGAAAACTCGCAGACAACTGCACCGGTCTCCAGGGTTTTCTGGTTTTCAATGCTGTGGGGGGTGGCACTGGTTCAGGTCTCGGTTCCCTGCTTCTTGAGCGTCTTTCAGTGGATTATGGCAAGAAGTCGAAACTCGGTTTCACCGTCTATCCTTCACCACAAGTTTCAACCTCTGTTGTGGAGCCTTACAACAGTGTCCTCTCCACTCATTCCCTCCTGGAGCATACCGATGTTGCTGTTCTGCTTGACAACGAAGCAATATATGACATATGCAGGCGTGCGCTTGACATTGAGCGACCAACCTACACCAACCTTAATCGCCTAGTATCTCAAGTAAGCTATTATTGATTTGAAACCCAATGTTGCTGCATTTTATCACCTGAATCTCAAATCATGTTATGATGTGTCCAGGTAATTTCGTCACTGACCGCCTCCCTGAGGTTTGATGGTGCTTTGAATGTGGATGTTACCGAATTTCAGACTAACCTGGTGCCATATCCTAGAATTCACTTTATGCTGTCATCATATGCACCTGTCATTTCGGCAGAGAAGGCATACCATGAACAACTATCAGTTTCTGAGATCACAAACACAGCATTTGAGCCATCGTCTATGATGGCCAAGTGCGATCCACGCCATGGCAAATATATGGCTTGCTGTTTGATGTACAGAGGTGATGTAGTTCCTAAGGATGTCAATGCAGCTGTGGCAACAATTAAGACAAAGCGCACCATCCAATTTGTTGATTGGTGCCCCACTGGATTTAAATGCGGTATCAACTATCAGCCTCCAACTGTTGTTCCTGGGGGTGATCTTGCAAAGGTGCAAAGGGCTGCGTGCATGATTTCAAACTCAACTAGTGTTGCTGAGGTTTTCTCGCGCATTGACCACAAGTTTGATCTTATGTATGCCAAGAGGGCATTTGTGCACTGGTACGTCGGGGAGGGGATGGAAGAAGGTGAATTCTCTGAGGCTCGAGAGGATCTCGCCGCCTTAGAGAAGGATTATGAGGAGGTCGGTGCAGAGGCCGCAGAAGATGAGGAAGGTGACGAGGGAGATGAGTATTAATTTTGCCCTACTATCCCGAAGCTTTTTTTATTTCCCATTAACTTTATGTGGTGCTTACTTGCACTTTCGTTGTCAGTTCTCCATAATACGTAGGACCTTGTATGTTTGTTCCATTAGGGTGGAGCACACACTAAACTATGATGATATTTCTCGTCTTGTCACCGAAGTTGGGAGCTCTATGTTATGAACCGGGGAATGAAATTGATGATTTTCTCCATATTGTGTTGAATCTATAATTTGCTAAAATTGATGGTTTTCTGTTCTCCATATTGCGTTAAATATTTTAGTCTATAAGAATCATTGCAATTGTGCTATTGGTTTGAATACTATGATCTGCATTTGATTAGGACATGCCCTCAATTGTGGGTAAGACAATGTTTCTAGCCTAATCAATCATGCTGTCTTGCTATCCGAGTGGTTGGTGTAACGTTAGCGATCAAATTCAGTTGACTTGCATTTGTGGATTATTGACTTTTTAATAGCATACATGACTACTGAAATAATGCATTAAAAAAAAGGTCTACCAACTGAATTATACAGCACGGAGTGACATGATCAAGGGACAAAGCTACTTCTTACAAGCCAAGTTTTTATCTCAACTTCATTTCACAAACTTCAGGGGAGCAAATAGATTCATTTTATCTCAACGTCCCCTTCCCGTCCCTCCAAAAATTAAAATGAAAAGAAAACATAGGGCGTGCAATACACATGCTGACATGCAGTACGCAATAAGAGGAGGCATGTGAAAGGGGGCGATCTTCGAATGAGCACCATGTAAACAAAAAATGATTTTTGATAATAGACTGCAGCTAGATAAAGTTATGGAAAAATTGAGATGGATGCTGCCCAATCCAGGTTGGGTTAGGTTAGATGTGGACCAGGCAGTTAATCAAGAGGGGGAAGCTTTTTGTGGTAAAATCATACATGATGATGGTAATTGGAGAGCCGGGTTCATGATGAAGTTGGACTATGACTAAGATGATGAACATAAGAGAAGGTTTAAAGTTCTGTTGGAACCTTGACTTTAAAAAGTTTAAATTGTTTTGGGATTCAATGGAAGCTATTGAGAACACGAGAAAAGAAAAAAAAAGAAAAAATTCTAGATAGGTTTCATCATGCTTGTGGAGTCTAAGATGATATTAGGAAAATGCTCATACAAGATTGGAAGGTGTTGTATGACTACCACCATGTGTTTAGAAAAGCAAATATTTATGTCGACTGATTTTCATGAAATGCCCACAGTTCAAACCAACAGTTAAGCGTGATTATGGAATCTGATGTAAAGTGTATTGTTCTCATGGGCTACGATCTTAGTCACGGTCTTATAGGTGTAGGTTGATTTATTGCAATTTTCTTTTCTAATATTTAGACATTTGCCTCTACTTATATTAAAAAGAAGAAGAAGAAGAAGAAGAAGGTCTTTGACAGCCCTCATGTGACAGACTTAGTTTGTCTTTTAATGTCTTCCTGCTAGTTTTTTTCCTACAGTCACACTAGCATGTTTTTGTTTACTTTTTCCTTTTCAAATCCACCTACCTATTACCTATGTGAGTGCAGGTGGGAGATCAAAAGAGAATTACCTGGTGGAAAACCCAATCCATATGGGTTGATTAATGCGTTGATGTTGCCATAGTGTTGCTTCTGGAACATATTGAAAAAAAGGATTAAGAGGTGAAAATGTTTATAAAATATTTTGCAAGAAGTTATAAGCATTCTAAAGCATTTGTAGATCACAACTCTTCTTTAATGGACATTTGGCTTTAGTTAGGGATTGTGAAGTTTTGCACCGTTTTTTAAAATTAAAGAGTAAAATTGCATTATTATATGATGAGAAAGCACTATTTTTTGTTTCAGTACTTTGTTCAATTTTTATTACAAATCCTTGCATTTCTTTTCAGTATTTTAAGTTTCTATATTTTTCTCTATTTATAATATTAATTCTTATAGTTTCAAAGGAATGTTGACATGGCACAAGGAATATTAAAATTGATGATATGTCTATTAACATTGTTAAATTTATGTTGACACATGTGTTGAATTGGATTTTTTAATAAACAAAATAAATTAAAAAAGCCACATCAAATAAAATAAAAAAAATGTTCAGCTTAAACATTTTGGAGGTTCTTTTTTATTGCTTATCATTATATCAAGACAGGTTATAACTTTTTTTCATTTGATGTGACTTTTTTTAATTTTTATTTTTATTAAAAAGTCCAACTCAGCACCGTTTAACATATCAATACAAATTTAATGGTGTTAGTAAACATATTAGTAATTTTAATACCATTTGTGCCATCTTAACATCCCTATGAAATTATAGGAATCAACATTGTAGACAAAAAAAAGTATAGGGACATGAAATATAAAAAAATGAATTTATAACAAAATTCTAACAAACTACATGGATCAAAAGTAGTGTTTTTCCTAGCATAATTTATGATACTTGTAGCTTTTTGTAAAATATTTTATGATTATTTTTGCCCATTGACCAAAAAAAAAAAAAAAGTATCACAATTTTTCTCTGCCTGGTAAACTTGCTCCCTTCGAGATTGAGCTAATATATTGCAATTTTCAAACCTTTAATTTGGACCAAATAAATTTCGCAAGTTCGTCTCTAAATATAATTATAGCTATTGTTTGGAGGACTTCAGATTGTGAATTATATCTCTTCCTCATTTCCTTGTGACCGATCATAATTTGGATTCTAGAATTTGCTTGAGATCGAGTACGTGGGCAGTTTCTTCTCCATATATATGCTCCCTTCTTGATTCAGGGAAAGTGTTTGTGTGAATGTAATTTGACGATTTTAGCCTCATGGTCTCAAAATGGTTTTCATATTTTCGACGACTGGTGTTATCAGAAGTTTCATCATGTTTTACTTAGTTTTCCGAATTACTGCATGCGCAGCGCTTATGTGCGTTTGCTGAAATTAGTGTTGGAATAATTTTATAAAATTATTAATGAGTGAATTGCAGTAATTAATTAAGATTATTAATGCTGTTTTTTTTGCTGTTTTGAATTGATTCCTTTCTGTGGTTTTGTTCCTTGTATTTCCTGGACTTTGGCTTCTTCATTATAATAGCAGTATCCTTTGACCAAAAAATTAAAAAAAATCTTTCAGTCTTTGTGTGCAATGCGTAATTATGGAACAACGAGCAAAATATAGGACCAATTGGCATTATTTATCATAGCAGAATGTACACACACCTCCGCAGACCATTGTTATTTATTATCATATGTTAGTCAACACAGCAAACAGAAGTGGAAGAAATTTTTTCGCGTTTCCAGACTCAGAGGTTGAAGATGACATGCGAGTCTTAAGTTATATCCCTCAGTGTGGGATAGTTTGAGTCTCATGGAGAAGCAATAGAAGGATCCAAAGCTCACTTCCATTCTCAATCTATCATCCCAGATAAATATAGCAGTATGAGACTCCCCTTTTTTCCCCATTTCTTTGAGAAGTGCTGGGCATTTGGACTTTTAAAGACTATTTTCTTTTTTCTTTTTGGTCTTTTTTACTGCTAGGACTTCAGTTTGTGTGAAAATTACATGTTATAATTTCAGTTTGGGAAGAAAAGTAACCTCTATGTTGCCATGACAGTGCACTTTCTTCAAATCAACAAGACTCACCTAATCTTCAGAGGTCCTACATCGCGCAGAACAGTTCCCTGCAATAATCATCCCCACACAAGCAACTTCACCTGGTATCTTGAATCAATGGCAGCAGGACCATCTAATTGTTCAATCAAAATAATTTCGACAAACCTAACTTACAAGGTGGTCCATTACTCGGAGGCAATGAATGGTCCTTCACAATTTCAGTCTTTCAGTCCTGTGGGGTCAACCAATGCTGGCCTGCAAACTCACCCAGTTATGGTGGCAGGACCTTCCTCAAGAGGCTATCCGCAAGTTCCTAACTTGTTTTACCATGTTGAGTACTCTTTTCCTGGTTTTTTAGCATGTGGTTTTCATCTGACAAGCATCCTGCTGTAGTTGACTAGCTCAAACAATATTTTCTGCATTATTGTCATCTGTGTATAATAAGTATTCAATTTAGTTTTTATAAAGGTTGAGGTTTTGTTCACAGGTCCTTGGGATCCCTATTCCCCTATGGTTAGGTCAAGCACTGCAATTAAAGCTGTCTTATTCTTAACAGTTTTTATTGCACGGTATAAATGACATCCCATTTTCACCATACTTCAGAGACAAAAACAGTGTTGAGTTGATAACTCCAATGAAGACGTACAAACTCTAAAGAAACTCCACAAAAAGAAGCATGGAAGAATAAACCATGAGAAAAGAATAGAAGACGAAGAAAAAGAATGAAAGAAAGATGGAAGAAGAAAGAGAAATGTACTGAACAGAGTTAAAATACAATGATAGAAGATTTGAAACAATATAAAGATAAAAGAAGACAAAAAATATTAGAAGTGAAAAAGTGGTTATTGATTTTAAAATTTAAATTTAAATTCTGAAAATATTGAAAAATGGAGACAAATTTAAATGGACACAAAGTTCAAAATGAATACAACAGAAGTCAAAACTATTCATTTGAGCTGACACTGTTCATTTTAGCCATTAGTAGTCATCCACACCGTGAAAATGATGGTGGGGCTGCACTTCTTCATCAGCTTCGAATCCACGAGATTTCTGGAGATAGAGTTGAAGAGTTTATTTACTAGCTAAAAGTTACACCAAACATGATTTGGGTGAGAGGTTGGGGAATAGGCTTTTGTTCACTTGAGCTGCCCAAGGTTGATGGTGCTTTTGAGAAAGAATGCTTCGAAATAGTTCAACTTTGACAGACAACGGGAAAACAAAGGACAAGATTTCAAATGCTGACAGAAGTAAGTGATAACTTTGGGATAAATCAGAATAACTCAAGGATGTCTACTCCCCAGTTCAAGTTCTTAGAGAAATACCAGGAAATCCAAATATGGAGTGAAACTGCTTTTTTATTCTGCTTTAGGAGTAAAACTCAACAGAGATATGATACAGAAATAAAAAGTGATAATTGGAAGTACAGATTGCTCAGAGTTATTTCAGCCAGATAGATTGACGAACAATATCATGGACATTTCAACCTAGGTGATTATGAGTAATGGTAATGGGGGTGTTGGGTGGCCATTTGACATTCCTTCTCCAGACTCTACCAGGAATGTGTCAGGGAAGCTCCTCAAAATCTCTTCAGCAGTATGTTTTGTCCAAATGCAGAGAATGCTTCAGAAGAACTAGTCCAGTGGTGAAGAAATAAAGGATCAAAAAATGACCCTAAAACATTCTATAACAGCCAGTCCTAAAGATTCCTCCTCTTAACAGCTAGTCCTATAACATGAGTCACTTGCCTTTGCAAATATATATTCATGAGTACAAAGCTTTGGATTGTACATCCAAAACAAGCAAGATTCTATCTGGAAAAAGCAAGGCAACATGCAACCTTCAGAATCTTCATTCATAATACTGGAAGGATGTTGCACCTCTTCAAGCTCAACTGCAAAGAAATTTTGCCTAGCATGAAGCTGGGAATATGGAACACTTCTTTCCAGCAGTTTACTGCTCCAAGTCTATTAGATATTGTAACTATGTCTTAACTGTACTGCTATGTAATAGTTTTGACCCTTTGATTCAAAAAATAGAATACAATGCTTTGGCTATTATCTTTGATGGTCCTTTCCAAAGCAACAAGCAACTAACTTGTCACAAACTGTGTGGATAGCTACTAGAATTTTATAGATGAAAGTTGTTTCTGTATTGTGCGGTGGATTTGGATGTAATACAATAATGTAATTAGAAGAAGTTAAAAAGAAGGATTAGACTCATCCCGGATTGGAAATTATTTTCTAAAAAGAAAATGAATTACGAATGAAAATCTTAAAAACAAGTGTTGCTTTGTTCCCCATTTAAAATAAAAATGATTTTTTAAATAATTCTTTACCATTTAATTAATATGAATTATTTCAATTTTTATTCCAAACAATAAACTACATATTTAGTTTTTTTGGTCCCAAAAAAAACTACATATTTAGTTTGTCCAAAAAAATTAAATATTTAGAATTTTTGTCAAATAATCATCATTATTTTTAAATTTAAATGTTTTCAAATTTATTTTTATTATGCATTTAATTCCTGCACATTCCTGCTATGTGTGGGAAGATCCGGTCATCCGGCTTGGTGCAATATAAGGTTGCAGGCCGTTCGGGAAGACGCAGTCCATGAACTTTGGCACACACTGAGAAACAGAACGAGTTTGAAGAAATGGCGACGGCCGTCGTGCGATCTAGTTTTCTACGAGCTGCGGTACGCGGAAGACCTCGTAGCTCGGCTCCTTCCCGTCGAAACTTCGCTTCATCTAGTCATCACGATGATGAATGTTAGTGCCCGATACTCTCCCTTTATTCAACATACGCTTCATGCTCAGCTAACGAATCCTTTTATGGCGGTTTTACCTCGTATTGAATTTTGTCAATGTATTGCTGGATTTCGATTTTGAAGTCGTTCATTTCCTAATCTTGACAGCTATATAATATTAGGGTTTTCCCCCCTTTCCGGGTTTGTGCTTCTTTTTCGCAAACCGTGTGGCTAGCTGGGAAGTTGATCACTATTAGATTAAAGTCGTTGCATTGGGATACATGAAGTAGGAAAAGGGCGAATAGATATATGAAAATGATATACCCTGCTCTGATCGATATATTTGAAATTGATTTGATATTAACAATGCGCCCCCTCTCCCCCCCCCCCCCCCCAAAAAAAAAAAAATTGCTCAAATTTGCGAAGTCTTGTTACTGCGTGAATTTGTGAATATTCTCACCACATTGATTCACGTCTCGTTATTGCTCTCAAGCGTCTCTGAATAAACTCAACAAGGTGCTTAAATTTTTAGTTTTTTTGACTACGACACTCTTGTGATTCAATTTTTGCCAACTAACCCACTAGAACTTCTATTATTTGGAAAGTAGCTTCTCAGATTCAGTAAAAAGTGAAAGAACTCAACGTGAATTTCTGGATGAAATTTTGTCAATTTATTGGGTTTTCAGTTAGGTTTGTCAAATTTTTGGTGTTTGATGGATTGCTTACACTTTTGCTATTATTTTGTTATAAATTTCTTTGGCAATCTCTTTGATTTTAAATCCCAGCATCAAATGCAATTTTCAATTTTCACTTGGATTAACTGGAATTTGTTTTGTTTTTTTTTTTTAATGAGAAAACGGGGCAGAGCTCAAACAAAACTAACTAAGAAGAAATAGGCTGTAAGCCACCCTGTACATCTCGATGAAGCCATTGCAAGAGTTCTCTAGGAGGTTCCTCCAGCACCTTACACACATAACTGATGAATTCCAAACTGCATATTCGTAATTTAAGCCCCCCTGCATTAGAAACCTCCGCCTCAAATATTCTGCCATTTCTGCAATTCCCTCCACGCAGTGACTGCAAAGATTATGTCCCAGCACGTTCCCTCAACATGAAACTGCTCCTTCAGATTCTTTAAAAACCAGTCCCGCTTATTTAATGCAAAAAATTGCCCTTCATCCTTAGTAGCTAGAAATTGAGTCCAGACATCCTTAGCGAATTGACAGTCCTTGAGCATGTGCATTACATCTTCTACTTCATTGTGACATAAATCACAGCAATTGGGAGTACCAAAAAGCTTACTTCGCCTCTGTGCTGTCATGATTCGCTCATGAATAGCTAGCCATAAAAAAGTTTGAATTCTTTGAGGTCCTTTCCAGCTCCAAACAAGTTTCCAGATTTGGTCCACGCTGCTGCCAGTGTTTACTCTTAATGCCTCATACATGGAAGACACAGTAAACGAATTTTATGTCTTGGAGGATTGATGTCCTAGAAGGATTTGAATGTCTCTCTCCTCTAGAACATTATTAATAACTGGAATTGTTGATGGTTGTTCTGTTATATATTGACACTTTATCTATGTGGTTATTTATCTGTTTAGAATTTTATGCTCCAGGCTACTATGCAATTTTCAAGTTGCATTGTGGTGGCCATGCACGTGATATTTTCCCCTCCTTCCTTACCTCTTCCTGCTACTCATCACATGACTTCTCTATTAATGTCCTTCTTTCACTGTTATTCCTCTCTATATTTTGCTGATAAACACTTCTTTCATTAATTGTATCAGATGAGACAGCCAAGTGGGAGAAGATTACCTATCTAGGCATAGCTACATGCACTGTTTTATCCATTTATAATCTATCAAAGGGTCACCCTCACCATGAAGAACCCCCTGTGAGTTCTTATACAGGCTGTTTTCTATTTGTGTTACTTAGACATGGACTAACAATGCATTTTTGTGTTTCTACATTTGTTATGACGTTTTATCTATGATAGTGTGATTCAATCACTATTTCAGGCCTAGTTGTTTGTACAGTGTGTGACTCTCCGTCTATCATAAGTGCAACCAAATTCCATTTTGAACCCAATTGAGAATAACCTTGTAGTTATATCTATCTCCAAATTACTCTAGTACAACATTTGTTCAAAATATCAGTTTTCTTCTGTTTTTGACTTTGTCCTTATACTTTTATGCAGTCATACCCATATCTGCACATCCGCAATAAGGAATTTCCATGGGGTATGTATCTTTCACATCCATTATGGCCTTGATCTTTTTATTTCCTTCCCCAACAACTTGAAAGTTCCAGAAATTTATTTTCATTAATTTTTAAATTTTGTTAAATTTATATTTGACTTTGCTCATAGCCTTCCTGTTTTACTTATTAACACGATCCTATGTTTTAGTATTGTACCTATTTCTGTGAGTATTGAGTAATCTCATATTCAGTGAGAGCAGCTCTCATAAGAAGTAGATTAGTCTATTGGAGGAAACTGCTTTTACTTTTGTATTGAGATATCGTTATCATACATCTGATAAGATGGGAATGGCATCTCTAGCATGAGAGTTGTGGCCAATGTGTTTCATTTTTCATGGGCTTGCATACTTAAATGATAATGCAAACCTAACATTTACTTTCTTTTCTATATTTTTCTAAATTTAGTCTTAAATCTGAGGAAAAGATTATTCTGTTTGGCTTGGTTGCGCAAAAAGTTTTGGTTGGATTGAGAGCCTATGATACTATTGGGTGTGTATCATAATCGAGATTTGATTTTGGATCCATTTCCAAATATGCCTTTTAGCCTTTGGTGCCTTTGGTGCTGTTTATCAGAGCTGTGGTAGCTCTCCTTGTGCTTGTTGAGTTTACTGTACCTGATTGTTGATTCTGCCGTTGGGAAATTGACCTTAACAGCTTCCTTTTAGTAAATATTAACATAGATTTAGTTTCACATAACAATATGAGGTTATTAAGCCAGTGATCAAAATCAGTTCTGGCAAGGGTTTTTCTTGGTCAATTATCAATAGTATTATGGTGAAAACTTAGTTTGTGTTTAAAATTAAAAGTGGGCAAGTAGTTTGGGTTTGTTTAGCAAGCTGTGTTCCAGTAGTGTGCAAGTATTTATTTTTTGTAGTTAAGTCTTGAATTAAGTTTTTTTTTTAATGGGAATTCCTTGATGTTCTGTGGTTTTTGGGCTAAGCTTTAACTGGCTTGGCTTTAGGACAAGACTCTTGAACTTGTTTTGCTTTTTTTATGTTCTCGCTTTTCATGGAATTGCTGCTTGGGTTGAGTGGGAATGTGTAGATGAAAAGACACTTCACATGCTTGAAACAATTAAAAAAATTGGATTTGGAAGAAAGGGCAAGCTTTAAAAGTTATGAGGTGCTGTGAAGTAATTGTGGCTTTTCTACTGTTTTTTTTTTTTTTCATGTTTGTTTAATTGGTTTATTATTTGAAGTATTAAGTAATTCAGAAATGGTCTATGTTGTTATTTGGTGCTTATTGGTAAAATAGGAATACACATCTATTCAATTTCGATTGAGGGGGAGTGGGTATATTGATAATATCCTTCTCAGTTTGTTAAAGAGCAATCATATGATCAATTCTAGCTAGAACTCCAGCTAGATAAAATTAACTCATCAAACAAGAGAGGGATACTGACAATACTTCCAATTTTTTTACGTTGTAAAGGATTGCATCCTTTCTGGTTACCCCAGTAGTGATGTAAGATGTATAGGTGGAATTAGTTTCATGGTATAGTTCTGCATTAGTTCATATGCAAGCTGTTCCATGCATATCATCTGTATTTTGAGTAGTTCGGTTGGACTATCGAGAGTTACATGTGTTCACGTTATCATCTGTATGCTTTTTTAAGTAGATTTATGATAAAGAAATAAATATGCATCTTCTGGTAGATTGTAGCCGCTTTCATCTTTCAGGACCATAAAGAAGAATCTTCTAGTAGTTGCTGCTTGTCCTTAAAATTTAATTTTTATGTCACCATATGTGGTTGGGATCCCCCCTCCCCCAATCATTCCCACGGTATATTGCAACTTAACAATAATTGTTCTTTTTTTATTCACAGGTACAAAAGACATTTCCAAACTATCAAATCATCTTCTCTATTCTGTTCTAAACTACCCAAAGCAGTCATTTGTTTGATCATATGCATGTTATGTTAGCTAGTGCTGTGTTTCTTATACAACCACAAATTTGGCATTGCACTGCTGCTGCTCGTAGTCTTTGTTAATAGTAATACTGCTTATATTTTCAAGTAATATGTGAGGCATGAAATTTCCATCGTATGACTGGATTCTGTTGTGGTAAACAGGTCCAGATGGCCTTTTCGAGAAAAAGCATCACTAGGAACATCTGGTGGTTAAGTCGGAGGAGGTATCGTGTGGCTGTTTGTTTTGCTTATTTCTTACCCCATGTCGAAGTTTGATAAAACATTTTCGTATTATTTCATAAATTGTGATGTGGAATTTGTAATTGGCAAGGCAGTCTTATTTTGTCATGCTTCGTTCTCTTGAATTTAAAATAATTGAATACTTGGTTCTGCTTTATCCAGTTTGGTGCAAGTACTAGCATCAGAAAGAATGTTATTTCTGCACTAATTGTTCCACCCCTTCCTCACACCTCATTCATTTGAAGGCAAATGGGCTGAACTAAAAACGATGAGAATATTTTCTCAACGATTATTTTTTTAAGGCGCACACACTCACGGTGGGGGTGAATTTTGAATTGCATTCGCACCGCGTGCTCATCAAGATTAGGAGCAATCTTGGTTCTTTATTTCAGTTCAAATTAATATTTTCTGTTCATTTAAATTAATTTTTAAATATTTTTAATATTAAATTTATTAATATAAACATATAAAAAATTTTAAAATGTTATTACATTTGTTCATTATCAATCTGGTTAGTATAAATTTAATTTAATAGTTTAATTTAATATTAAATTTTTTTTATAATTTTAAAATTTGACTATCCAGCTAGATTTTGTATAGTTTATATATAATTTAAATAATTTAATTTAATATTAAAAAATATATAAATTTTACAGATTAATTATTTAAATATATTCTATATAGACCAAATTTAATATTGATTTTTTTTATATTTTTTATTTTAATAAATACAATATTAAAAATATTTAAAAATTAATTTAAATGGACTGCATGGGTTAAAGAAGGCTTAAATGAGAGGTTAACATTACTTTTAGTCTTAATAAGCATTCGGTGCTCATCACGAATGCGGATGTGGTGAAATCTCCTAAAGATACCATTATATAGAAGTACTTCCTCCGTCCCAAATAGAGACAAATAACTATTTATCTCAATGATACAAAAAATGTAGTTTTGCTAGTTAAATGCTTAAAATATGTCGCCATTTATTTTTTTTTCCTTTTAAAAAATGTCCCTAATAAAGTCATTAAGTAGAGTTATATCTTAATTAATTCATGACAAAATAAAAGTCCAACAATATTCTTATAAACAGGAATAGGGGGCATAATTACTAAAATTACACCCAGAAAATTCCCGTTAAATAATGAGCTAAATTAAAATAATAACGATTAAAACGATTTTCTTTTGAAAGGCTAAGATGACGGTTAAGCCATTACTATAGTATTTAGCTTGATGCAACTTATAGGGTATTGTACGTCTGCATGCCAAAATTCGAAATAGAATACAAGCTTAAACTAGAGTGTAATTTTATGTAGTGACGGAAGAAATCATACCAATAAAAAAGGACTGGAGTAGAAAAGAGTGAACAAACGAATTTACTCAGGACACTCGAGAGTCGAGCATCTAATATCGCAACTCTATGATGAGGTGAAAGAAACGTGAGAGTTATAAATGCCGCAACTTCTAAGAACATCAAATGCTTTATACATATGAAAACTCTATCGCTGCAGCAAATAACAAGAAGCCAAAGTTAGCCAAAAAAAAAAAAATAATAATAATAATAGCAAGCCAAACAAACTATATAGCACATTGGCCACGTAAAGAGCAATACATATCTCAATAATATGTAAGTTAGGACCCTAAGGAGAGGATGCTTCATGCAGTTGATTTATTTGAAATGTTGCTCCGTGGCAGTAACATCACTGTGATTGCTTTCAGTATTGGTCTCTGAAAAATTCAAGACTCAGACTTGACTTGATCCTGCGAGTTGGAATCAGATGATTCTTCTTTCTGGTTTCCTGAAGCAAATGATTCTTTTTGAGCCCCTTCATTTTCACTTGTCTGGCTTTGAACATTGTTGTGGATCTCATTCTGCACTGCATCAGCATTATTCTTGACGGACACATCTTTCTCTTCAGAAACTGAAGAATCAGAAGAAACGCCTGGCATTGTCACGTCTTTATTTTCATTCTTATTGTCATTAGCATTTTCATTGCCATTTGAGTTATTCTGGCTGGTATTGTTCCTGATTTCGGAGTTTGATGATTCTTCTTTGTTTTGTTCCGATGGAGTGCCAGAGGAATGGACTTGTGCTTGGCTGGCATCTATGCCATTATTAACACTTCCATCACTGTCTGCTTTGCTCTGAGCAGAGTTTACATTGCCATTTTGCCCAGAATTATTAATGTTTTCTGAGTTTGAGGAATCATCTCTCTTCTGTTCGGATGAAGCATCAGAGGAAGTTTGTTGCACCTCTTGGCTAGCATGTTTGTTGTCACTTGTACTGGATGGTAGGACATTATCTTGCACTCCTTTGTCAGAATTGCTGTTGAGGTTTTGCTTGTTAGCAGAATCAGTAGTTGGATCCTTGGACTCTCCATTAGCTGCATTGATGATATTGTTCTCTGAGGAAGATGTTGGAGTGGAATCAGCATGCTCCCCCTCCCTTTTATTCACATCACTCTCCGTCAATGCCTGGTTCTCATTGCTGTTTCCTTCATTAGTTGTTGAATCAGTCTTCTCAGCCTTTTCTGATTCTTCAGTACCATTAGTATTAGACTCATCCTTGAACCCATTATTTTCCTTGTTTTCATCTTGTTCTGTCTTCTTATGACTTTCATCTGAGATATCTTGTGTTCTATTTTCCACAGCACTGGAGGCATTATCTCCAGCATAATTCTCCTCTCTAGCCTCCGCACTGTTCCTTTCTCCATCCTTGACTTGATCTTCAGATGAAGTCACTTCCTGAATCTTCTCACTCTCTTCTTTCTCTTTTTCTGATGAGCTACTGTCCTCTTTCTCTTTGTTATTATCACCTTGCTCTTTACCGCCCTCCTGTTCCTTCACTTCAGTTCTGTTTTCTTCATTTTCCTTATTCTCTGTCTCTTTTGCTTCTCCATGTTCTTGCTGACTCCCGTTCTCCGTAGTCTCTCCAGCCTCTTTGTTCTCCACTTCATTCTTGTTCTCTTCATTCTTCTCTTGTTCCTTCACCTCAGTTCTGTTTTCTTCATCTTCCTTATTCTCTGTCTCTTTAGCCTCTCCCTTCTCTTGCTGACTTTCATTTTCTCTAGTCTCTCCTGTCTCCTTGTTCTCCACCTCATTTTTGTTCTCTTCATTCTTCTCTTGTTCCTTCACCTCAGTTCTGTTTTCTTCATTTTCCTCATTCTCTGTCTTTTTTGCCTCTTCCTTCTCTTGCTGACTTTCATTCTCCCTAGCCTCTCCTGTCTCTTTGTTCTCCACTTCATCTTTGTTCTCTTCATTCTTCTTCTCTTCATTATCATTTCCCTGGCTATCATTAACACCATTCTCGTCGCCAAATTTCTTGTGATGCGCCTCACCTTCCTCCTCTGTCCCCACATTTTCGGAGCTCAGTTCAGTCACTTTCTCTTGTTCTTCTGAATCCACTTTACGCTCAGAATCCCCTTCTGTGTTTTCTTGCTCATCTTTTTGGGATGAATTCTCATTGTCCACACCATTAGTATCATCCATCCTGGTTTGCTCTTCATGCTTGCTTTCTTCATCCTCCTCCTCCCTGTGCCTTGCATCTATGACTGAGGTTTCCTCTGCGTGAGGATGGAGATACTTCCTCCCTAACTTCACAGCTTCACTGCTAGCTCGTGTGCTTTCACCATATGATGCTTTCTTGTCATAAGATTGTTTGATTTGGTAACCCAGCCAGACACAGAGGCCAAGCACAACGCATAATTGCAGTGCATGCTTCACCTTGAAGCCTTTGGATCTCTGGCTCCTCTGAGATGACTTGAGCATGATGAAGATTCCTCTCCCTCAATTTTACTTTTTACCCAGATACCTGCGCATATTGAGCAATCTCTATAACAGGCCATTAATAACATCTACTCATCATAAATCAGATCGGGGGGAAAAAAAAAGACACGCTTTGTTGTTTCCTCGAGCAAGTGGATGTTCTAGATTGAGATATAATACTCAAAAGTTTATACAATTTACAGATTTCAGTTAAAACAAGGAAATATTTGTACATCTGAGAACTAGTGAAGTCAGGATTTTTCTCATCGCAGGAATCCGCAATCAGTAAAACTATTGATCCCCTCGCGGACCATTTACTCTGGCAAAGTTAACTATATTTGTTGTTTAGTTCCTATTGATTCAATCTTATCGCAGAATACAAGAAAATGCATATTGATTCTGCAACCAACCCAATAATGTTTTGAGCTGGTACGAAACTGGTTCAAAGTAACTCACAGATCCACGCAGATCTTGACCAGATATCTAAACAATGTAACTGAATTCCGATATCACCGAAACTTTAAAAGACTTTTCTGATAACAATGGAACTGATAAAAAACAGAAATAACGTACCCGAAAGAAGCAGACTGCTGATTTCGAAATGAACAGTGTACACCAAAGAAACAATCCCTTTCTTCTAGTAGAAATGGAAGAGGAAGCCGAGAAGGAACAATACCACGACGCTGCACAGAACAAGATTTGATCTCTCGCTACCTTATTAAAAGTTTGAGAAACAAGTGGATCGATTTCTTACAGATCTGAGACCACGGGTGGAATAGAACGTGCTGTAGGCTTGTTTACGTGTGAACAGAATTTTTTACTCGCGAGTATGGGTTGAGTGGACTGATTTGAAAGCCTAACTTTTGAAATTTGGTTTAATTAATTGTTTTCTTCATTAGTTAATTGTACAATAACGACGTCGTTTCTAAGGAAATTAGGAGCACCGTCATGCATCAATGAATAGAAAGAGGACACGTGGCATCTAGAGATCCCCAAACCTCTAGGGTTGTCGGTTACACTAATGAGCTACACTGTGACACGCGAAGCAAAGACCTGGAGTTAATATCTCACCATCTCACAAAGAAAGGATCTTTCTTTCTCATCGTCAAGATAGAGCCGAGGGTCCATATTCCACGCGAAGGTGGGTGGGTGGGTAACCTCTATCCTTATTTTCGTATTACAGTGATTTGTGCACTCAGATCGAGAATTGAGAAAGTCGTCTGTTGTTTCTTCACCAAACAGCAACGCCTGAACTGGGAAGCTACCGAATCTTTCTCCCTCAGAGCCCAATCCAATGACGTCGAAGCTGATTGCTTCCAATCTCCGCCAACAACTCGCTAAATCCACCCATCAATTTCGCCGTCAACTGCTGTCCACTGCGGCGGTGGCGGCGGAGCCTCAACACCATGAGGATTCAACTGGAATCACGATGAAAGGTGTGAAAATTTCTGGAAGGCCTCTTTATCTGGATATGCAAGCAACTTCTCCCGTAGACCCACGGGTGCTCGATGCGATGCTTCCCTACTACATGTCCCGTTTCGGTAATCCTCACTCTCGTACACATATGTACGGCTGGGAATCCGATTTGGCGGTCGAAAATGCTCGCGCTCAAGTAGCATCTCTGATTGGCGCCTCCCCAAAGGAAATTGTCTTCACTTCCGGTGCAACGGAGTCCAATAACATTTCCATAAAGGGTGTCATGCATTTCTATAAGGACAAGAAAAGGCACGTGATAACGACGCAGACAGAGCACAAGTGTGTTCTTGATTCGTGTCGCCACCTCCAGCAGGAGGGATTCGATGTCACGTACCTTCCAGTTGGGTCCGACGGGATCATTGACCTAGAGAAGCTTAGGTCGGCTATTAGGCCTGATACAGGTCTTGTATCTGTCATGGCGGTAAATAACGAGATTGGGGTGGTTCAGCCGGTCGAGGAAATTGGGAAAATCTGCAAGGAGTTTAATGTCCCGTTTCATACCGACGCGGCTCAGGCGTTTGGAAAGATTCCAGTTGACGTAGAGAAATGGAACGTGAGTTTGATGTCATTGAGTGGGCATAAAATTTATGGGCCGAAAGGCGTTGGGGCGTTGTATCTCAGGAGAAGACCGAGGATTCGAGTTGAGCCCCAAATGAATGGTGGTGGACAAGAGAGGGGAATTCGAAGCGGGACAGTACCTACGCCTTTGGTTGTGGGGATGGGCGCTGCATGCGAGCTGGCGATGAAGGAAATGGAGTATGATGATAAGAGAATTTCTGCTTTGCAAGAACGATTATTGAATGGGATTAGAGAAAAACTGGAAGGGGTGGTGGTGAATGGGAGCATGGAGAGGCGCTATGCTGGAAATTTGAATTTGTCATTTGCATATGTTGAAGGTGAGAGTTTACTGATGGGGCTGAAGGAGGTCGCCGTCTCGAGTGGCAGTGCTTGCACTAGTGCGAGTTTGGAGCCCTCCTATGTTTTGCGGGCATTGGGAGTAGATGAAGACATGGCTCATACTTCTATTAGGTTTGGTATTGGCAGGTTCACTACAGAGGCAGAGATTGACAGGGCAATTGAGCTCACGGTTCGACAAGTGCAGAAGTTGAGAGAAATGAGCCCACTTTATGAAATGGTGAAGGAAGGGATCAACATTAAGCAGATTCAGTGGGCGCAACACTGATAATCTTGCCAATGGTCACATAGAAAGCTCAGGCATTATGTGAGGTGGATTACGTCCCTTGGAGATAGTCAAATAGATTGTCTATTCAGCCAAATAAATAGCTATTGTTTATCCAGGTAGCCTTGTAGAATCGACTTAGAAGGTGCTGTCGGTGTAATACTTTTAATCTTAGCTTACGCGTGGCTGTGGGTAATGTCTTCTTAGTGAGTGTATTTTGTTGGCTGATACTGAAATTAGAGGATTATGACATGATATGGACAACAGATGATCAAACTTTGACCTTCTTTTCTTGTCCTGTTCATAACTGAAAAATACATCTTTGTATGCATGCCATATTCTATTTGGAGTTTGAAATTTATTTTATATCTCAATTGAAGAGAATTTGGTACCCAATAAATTTAGCATTAGGCTGAGAGCTTGTCCTCTGTTTATTTCAAAATTCAAACCTAGTTGTTGCCTGTGTTTCTGTCTTTTAGAAGTTTTGATTATCTTCCTCTACATCAAGTCACTAATTGATTCGTCTTTTCCCAAGTTGACAATTCTTTTTCAAAATTCAAATTTCATTATGTTGTCACTCGGTTCGTTATTATGGAGTGGGGAGGTGGTATTAGATCATGTGCTGTCGTTATTTATTGGATGCTTCAGACTGAGGTCATATAAGCAGGGAATGGATTTAGTCATAAGAAACAAGGATCTTGCGATTACATCCTGGCTGGGGTAGCCTCCTGTTGGTTGAACTTTTTAGTTGAGTTTCGTGTTAGCCTACATGATCGGTGATCAAACATGATAAAATGATAGCGATAGAAGTGTATATTGTTGAACTTGAGTCAAATGTGCTCTTGATGATAATTGTCACTGCATGCTGATATGGAGTTGGAATTGAAATTTGTGTATTTTTTCTTGTGGGTTAGAAAGTGAAATAGCTTAAATCTAGAACTTGCACAATCATATAGAGGTTTTCTTAAACTGATGTGTGTTCCAGAAATATCACTTTTACAAGCCTCGAGGGTCCAGCATGCCCTGCCTTTAGACTCGTAAGGGCGTGTGTGAATTTCAGTCTAGTATAATTAATTATGAAAAAAATTAATTAATATAATTGATTTTGAATATAATTAATTATGTTACGTGATATATATATATATATATATATATTGCTTAAAATAATTGATAAGATTAATTTTAATTGAAATTGAACGGTAGAATTAAAAAGTAAAATTAAAAAGTAAGATTGAAAATAAGGTAAAACTATGGTTCTGTGAAAATATATCGAAACATTTATGTTATATGTTAAAATTATGTTTTTAAAAGAATATTCAAACACATATTATACATGTCAAAATTAATTATAAATTTAAAATTATAATTTTTTTAAATATTTAAATATTTTCATACATGTCAAAATTTATTATGAACTTAAAATCTAATTTATCGCATAAGCTACTATTATTTGTTTTTCAATTATACTTTTTTAAAAATTTATTTAAAAATTATATAAATTATTTTAGAAATCATATTTTTAGGTTTATAATTAATTTTGAGATATATAGAGTGCTTATTTGGATAATGTATATAATCAATTTTAGATGTCAAAACTATGGTTTTGCGAGAATATAACTAAACACTCATATTATATATTAAAATCAATTACGAATTTAAAATTATATTTTTTAAAAAATATCCAAACACACATTATACATGTTAAAGTTAATTTTGAACTCAAAATTGTGTTTTTTTAACATCCAAATACTTCTATATATGTCAAAATTAACTATAAATTTAAAAATATGATTTGTAAAATAATTTATATTATTTTTGAATAATTTTTTTAAAAAATATAATTAAAAATATGAATTGAAAAGTAGGTAATAATAAATTATGAGATAATTATGATTTTAAAATTATAATTGATTTTGGCATGTATGAAAATGTTTGGATATTTTTTAAAAAAATTATGATTTTAAATTCATAATTAATTTTAATATATATAGTGGGTGTTTTGATATTTTTTAAAAAATATAATTTTAGATTCATAATTAATTTAAACATGTAATAAAGATGTTTTTATATATTTTTATAAATCCATGATTTTACTTAATTTTTAATTCTGCTTTTTAATTTTACTTTTCAACTTTGATTAAAATCAATTTTATAAGTCAGTTATATACCTCATAATATAATTAATTATATTCAAAATCAATCACATTAATTATTTTTTTTATAATTAACTATACCCAACTAAAATCTAAATACATCTAGGGGTGTTTAGATATTTTAAAAAAATATAGTTTTGAGTTTAAAATTAATTTTGGCATGTATAATATATGTTTGGATATTTTAAAAAAATATGATTAATATGATTTTATGTTTATAATTGATTTCAACATGTAATAAGGTGTTTGAATATATTCTTATAAAATTATGATTTGACTATTAAAATTGGTTATAGAGACTATCCAAATAGACACTAAGCCTTCGGGGTAACTTCGCCTGTGTTTACTTTATTTTGATTTAAATGATTAAATTGTGATTTTAGCCTTCTGCCAGTACCATTTACTGTCAAAAACTACTATTTTTGACGAAAATATTTTTATTTGGGTTGAATAATTGTGTTTGCTATAAACCACTCTTCAATGATTTATACTGGTATTCATTTTTCTGTCAAAATGGTTGACAGCAAGGTTATCAAGCTTGTAAGTTTAAGTTAAGTTGTAATAAAAAATGTAAGTTTAAATCATAAACTCATAAATGTTTACCTCTATTAATAAATAATTATTAAAAATATATGATTAAATAATTAAAATAAAAATATGAACATAATTTGATTTAACTATATTTCAAATATATATTATTGAAATTAAATTTATCTACATTAATAGACTATCATACTAAAAATAAAAAATTTAAAATAGGGCAACAAGTTCAAAAAATTTTAGTATTTCTTATTTTTATTAATATTAGTTTTTCCTTTTTGGCTTTTTATTTTTCTTTGAAGTAGGTCCTGCTGTTTCTATAACCAAATTCTAAATAATATATACTTTATACTATGTAAAAAAATTGACAAGTTTATTAAGTTTAATTGAGTTTGTATTTAATTTAAATTTATGAGTGAGATGACATAATTTTGTATGCTATTTATAAATGTAAAAATGGTAAACTCAGAAAGTAAACTTGCGAGTTAATTGAGTTTGCATCTAGTTTAATTTTATAAGCTAGTTTGCACAATTTTATAAGTTAAAAATATAAATATGATAAATTCAGAAAGTTAACTCAAGGATTTGACAATAATAGTTGAGAAGCAACCGGCATTAGCAAATTCATGTACATTGATGTGACATTTTGATTTATGGGTAATGCCTAGAATCGTTAATTAGGGCTGTACCTGTACAGCCGGCCCTTGTAAGCCCAAAATAAAAGGGCCGGCCCTTTAGGGTTAGGGCCGGCCTTTTTAAGCCCTAATATATTTAAAAAGAAATAACATAAAAAAATAAAAAAAAAGATATTACATTACTCAAACTCGGCATTTACTCTCTAATCTAGATAATAAACATACACATTATTATTTGCTTACTTTGAATATTTTTACATTCTTTAAATACCTTGATATTATGATTTTGGCATATTATTTATTACAAATAATGAGGATGAAGAAGGAAGATATGAAAAGCTTAATATATTTGCCATAGATGAGGATCCACAAGGAGAAGAATCAAATGATATTGATGTTGATGATGATGAAAATCATCAAAATTTTGCTAATGATGCTATCAATGTGTAATTGATGTCGGAGTTGATTTTGATATGTTATTTTTTTATCAGACTTAAAATTTTTGTTATGTGAATTGATTTTATTTTATTTTCTTATACTTAATGTGATGTGTAATAACTTTGTTAGAATTTTAAATATATTTTTTTAATTTTTAAATTGAAAAATTTTAAAAATAATTAGGGCCGGCCCTCTTTCAACCCTGAGGGCCAGGGTCGGGCTGCTAAAAATAGAGCCCTGAAGTATAATCAGGTTTAAAAGGGCTAACCCGTTTAGACTCTAAACCTTGAAGGGTCGACCTTTTAAGGTTGGGTTGACTCTAATTGATACCTCTAATAATGCCATGTGAATGATAGTCAAACTGATATGCTAGATAGGTAATTTAGAATGGAAATTTTCCTTAAACATGCCTATTATGTATTCCTGGTATTCAATACACTTTGTTGGCAAATTGCGATGTTAAATGATGGTGACAGTTTAAGGGACAAGAAGGGTGGGTCTTGTTTTCGCTTTTACAATTTGTGATTGAATTAACAATTTCAATCACTCTACCGAGTTAACAATTTCACCTAATTTTTCAGTATTATGCTGAATGATAATACATGGCATTAAATTATGAATGAAACTAATAGCTTAATTTTTTGTCGTGTGAGGTGTTCACTTTTACTACCACACGCATTGGCTTCCTTTTTCTGGGACACTTTTTTGATAGCTATAACTTGTTGGTTTTGTTTGTCAGTTACTTCGCGAATCGTGATTCTGTAATGCAGAGTTGGTGCAAATAGTATCATGATGAATTTTTATTGGCTATTTCTTTGGATGGTTCAGATTCAAGTAATGCAAATTTGGAAATGGTATTTGAAATTTGACAAATGATTTCATGCGAGAATGCTGTTAACTTCAATGTGTCTTATCCGCCTAATTAGCTTGATTTTTTTATTTTTTGAAAAATTCGTGCGAGGGTTGGCTGTCATCTTATTGGACCATATGCTTTGAGTTTAATAATGCGTTCATGTGCCCAAAGACCTTGAAGTCAAAGTCTTAATAAAGACGAGAGTTCTGATACATCAGCAAACTGAATTAAAATAATAATAGGAATAATAATCGTCAACTTTCTTATGTCAAAGAGTAAGGATGATGTGCTGGGGCATTAAATTGAGAAATGTAGCTTATAAAATACGGGCCCTTACTCAAACAAACTATATATGACGCTGTATAAACTTGTATAAATATACTTTTCTCTAGTGAATATCAACTGCAATACTTCTGTGTGAACATAAAATGAGCACATCTTTGCTTCCCCAATCTTCAAGATGGCACAGCCCTCTGTGCAAACGCGTCCCATTCCCAAAACCTCGATGCGCCATTACCAATGACCACGAAACATAAGTCAGCCCATCCTTCTTGATCCATTCAAGTGAATGACCTGACTTTCGCCTTTGAAGGCGTGCGCCCTTTCAAGTTTCAAGACGAGATTCCTCTAAAAGCTAAAAGGTGTGGGAGAAGTAAATTTTCATGAAAAGTTTCAAGCAACCTCATGGCTTACAATTGGAAAGCAAACTCCTGATATCTCCTTGTATCTTGCACATTGATATTTTTTGAACCAAAAATAAATTCACAGATTGTGACGGCTGTCATTCTGTACTGTAAAAAACATTTGCATTTTCAAATCATAGCTCTATCACTCTGGTGATCGCTGTTGTTCCATCAGCATCAGATCAGTTGAGAAGTGGAATTCAGGGCAGGACTATTTGTATTACGCCACAGGGATGGGCCAACTCCAGCAGGATCGTGTTGTTGATAATTACAGCACAAAGAAAACTTGGGATGGCTTCAGAATCTCCTTTAATTTTTTTTCCCATGTGGTCCGGAAGCTTTTCTGTTGTATCTGTCCTGACCTTTGTACCAACATTCTTTTTTATCTTCTTCAATCTCGGACTGCATTGTTCTCACATGTCTGTAATATTATTCTTCCCCTTGGCTTGCTTGCTTTGTCATTTAACTGTATACCATTATTATCTTGCACATAATGCAGCAAAGATGCTTGACCCCTTGATGATGTGCATCAGATCAATGAATGTTCTCTTTCAAGAAGCAAAGGGAACTTGCACAATGCGGCTTTTATTTTCAGGCAAAAGATTGTAACTTAATATCACAGAATGAAAAACGATTAATGGCCTGTATATTCCAGGAATATTTTGGATATTAAGTTAAAGTACTGTCAGTTCCCTCTGGCTCCATCCCTGTGGAAGTGGTGGTGACGTGCTGCGTTATGATCTTTTCGGCTATCGACGTGCTGTGTCATTCATGTAAGCTTTTTAGCAAAAGCAAAGTTGATATGATACATGAGCCACGCAAAAACTCTTTGTTGAATTGTTTCTACTGAAAAGATTATGAATCTGTACGGCGGTAACTAGGACTGAACACAAGCTTGTAATCAGACCTACAAATATATTTATATATATAACCTTGAAATGGAAATCTGTGCAACACTCTTAAGATTTTACGATACACTGCAGTCTGCAATACCATTCACAATTAAAAAAAAAAATCGCGTGTGTGTGTAACACCTTATCATATCCAGATGTACGAACAATGTCTTGTTAAGGCTAGCACATATATCTCTCAACTTTAAGCCAAATCTTTAAAAATCAAGCGTCTCATCTAAGTTGACCAGTCATCTCAACTTTTAACCGAATCTTGCGTCTACTTTTTCTCGTCAATCTCTATCTAGCTATGCGCATTATATTTTCTCCAGTGGTCATGAAAGAAGAAATCATTTTTTTTTTTTTTCAAGAACTGGGTTTTCAATCCGCAAAGGAAAGCTTTAAGCAGACAACAATTTGTTTAAATCCAGATATATAGAGAGGCAGCACATCGGAAAGCACACTGTTAATGATTACTATATGGCGTATGCCTATACAGAAATGGAGAAAAGGATCCATACAAAGAGAAAAGAATATCTGGAAATGTCTATTCATATACAGAATGGACTAATAATCGATTGGTGTATATATATAGATATATGGAACTAAGAACTGGTAAGGATTGAAATCAGGGGTTGAAAATGAGATTCCCACACTTGCATTTCCAACTCATTGGCTTGTAGTTTGAAGTTGTACTCTCATCTCCTCTTCCATAAGCAGAAATTGCGGTGTTCATCTCCTCCTTCTGTACTTGGGGATTCGTAGGTACTTGGATAGCCTCACAGTGACCACACCAGCTACACCTTCCCTCACATTTTGGTGGCCTCGAACCTATCCTTGCTCTCACACTCGTAGCATCATCCTCACTTACTACCACCTGCTCAAAACCATTCTGTTTCAGAGTTTTCCTACCTGTTACAACATGGAGAACAAAACAACATATATATTATCATTCTTTGTTTTCAAGCTGTTTTCAATGCAGTATCAGTATTGAAACTTGAGAATTTACTTTCAATAAGAAATCCCTGCTGGGTCCAGCTTGAAACTAGTAGAAACAACAGAGAAAAGATAATAAAGCTGAGTCTGTGACCACAAATGAGCTGATGATCATGCCCCATTTCACAGAAACCAGTGGAGTGGAATAATTGGGAAGGAGAGAGTCTCGAGCAAAACCTGGGAACTAGACAGAAGTAAGAGCAAGAGAGTTAGGAGGGAGAAGAGGAAATGGATGATAAATGAAGATATAGTAATTGAGGGAATGGTCAAAATGGGAGGTGGCAGCAAACGACACAGTAACTGAATGACGCCATAATAATAATAATAATCATCATCATCATCAATAAATTGTTAAAATTGTATTGAAGTGATGGAACATGGAAAGACAAAAGAGAAAGCCGCAGAGGGGCAAGAAAAGGAGGGTCCACAAAAAAGGAAACACCTATCCTTCGGCTTACGAGCCCTCTCCCTCAAACATAAAAACCAAGATTCATATAATAACTCAAGGAAAGGAGAAGCAACACGAGAGATTATATATATATATATGTATATAAGGCGAGTAGCACCCAGAAAGAGCAAAAAGCCACAAGTTTTACCCGATTTGAGGGACAAGCTCCCAGTAACAGACATGCTTTTACAGCTGTTGATTTGGGTTGGGGTGTGTAATAATTTTCACATTCAAAAGAAAAGTAATTGGTAGAGTGGGAAACTGGAAATGGGGTTTCTTGCAGTTTGTGAAGTGAGCAGTCCCAGGTTATCACGCCATATCCCTTTCACACTCTGGGAGAAAGAGAAACAACATTAAGTGATTCTGTTGTTATCCTTTCAATCTATCATTCTGTAATCAAATGAGTTGATGTTGTTTAGTGTGATTGCATGATCAGCTTCAGCTTTCAGACATATATTCACATCCCCTTCACTTAGCTTCTGCTCTGATATTTACTGCTACGATGAAGGCATACGGATGCTTACATAACACAACAATGATAACTACTTCGCTTTGGCCCCCACCCTTTTTTTCCTGTCATTTTCTCCAGTTCTGGTGTCACAAGAAAGAATAAAGATTACTTCAAAGCTCAAACTCGTCGCATCACGTTATACCATGCGTTTACTTTTATGAAAAAGAGTTCCTTATGAGATTTAAAATACCATGTATTTACTTTTATTAATACAAAACAATAAGGAATATCTGTATCAAAAAAACTACAAGGAATATCTGTATAAAAAAACACTATAGCATTACTTTGTATATATTAAATATAAGTAGAAGGTAAAAAAACAAGACATTAAATTAAATTAGAATCTTTTAAACACCCGATGGGCAAAACTTTAGAAAGAAAATGTGACAAACTAGAGTTGCATATGAACAAGATCGACCAATGAATCACCCATACCAAGTGCCCAGCCTGATATGCTCAAATGGCTTAGGCAGGGCTTAGCTAATTGAGCTTTCAAGTGACATGAATAATTTTACAACAAACGTCTATGATAGAAAGGAAAAATGGTTAATTAAAAGCAATTTTTCTTATACAATGTTCAATTCATCATAATTTTATCAATTCAACAATAAAATTAATTGAGTTATGTTAACATCAATATATTTAATTTTGTCATGATAAGAACTAACGTTGCAAATAGATACAATTTAAGGGACTAGGAGTTAAAGAAAAAGGTATAGGAACTAGTACGAAAATATTCTAAAAATACAAGGATTAATAATTGTATTTTTACATAAAAATTAATAAGGAATATCTGTGTTAAAAAAAAACTATAAAGAAAACATGCAGACCTAAAACACCAGCCCATAATGAAAATGGACTAAAAAGGACTTAACTTTAGACACAGCCCTTTTACTTCAGTAAGTCTAGAAACCCAAATCTGTTTTAAGTAGTGGTCTAATACAAAAAGCCCAGCTGGTGCAGCTGGCCTGCTTGTGGTCAAGAAGAATCAGAGTTTTCAAATCATACGGCCATGTCAAAAATTAAGAATTGTCTTTTCTATTATATAAATTAGAAGAAAAATGATGTACAACATCATTTAAATGCTTATGTTTATATAATCTAAGCATAAGAATTGTCAAAGGGCAAATGAATGATTTTTTCTTTGGGACCCAAAATCAATTTTTCTTATGTTTATACATATCTTTCAAATTCCTTAGAATTTTTTTTGGGGGTTGCTTTAATCTTCAATATAAATCCAAATGTACAAGAGTATTAGTTTAATGTACAAGGTTGATAGATATTAATATATGAAAAAAAAAACTTAATCCAAAAGGTTGGCCACAATGAAACGCCTAAGCATTTTTGTTTTTGCTTTGTGCCAGCCTAAGCTCTTCGGAATTAGTTATTCTAGCTGTGCACTCCCAAAAAAAAAAAAACCGCTATATTTATATGTCTATGGCTCCTATTGATGTGAGTTTATATTAATAACCTTTAATTATGTCAATAATAACTTTCTAATGTACAAGTAAGGTTTAATTAACTTGTATATTTCCATTTAATATTTTCATAATTATCAAATTTTGATAGTTTTGATTTGAAGTAAACAAATAACAAAAATTTTGGCAAGAAAATCTAATACAAACTCTCAAATAGAGATAGAAAGAGAGATGCAAAACTTCTTCATTTCTTTATCATCATCTTTTTTTTCTTCACTTCCCTAATCATAACCATTCATTAAATTTATGGCTAAAACAAATTCACTTGATGCAATGATGTCAATGGTTATTATTAGAAAGTAGAGAAAAATGGTGATAATAAAATGGATAGGGTTGGTAACTTATGCGGGCTAAGCTCGATCCTAAAACTTCTAGATTTTGAGCTTATTTAAACCAATCCAAATTCTCGAGTTGTCAATTTTTTATTTCTATATTTTTAAACAAATTTCAATTTTTACTTTTAAACTAATCATTTTATTATATAAAATATATTTTTTGCAATACTTGAAAAATGTAAAAGAGTCAACTTATTTTTTAAAAAACATTTTGTGGGTCTTAAAATCTAAAAATTAAGATTAAAATATATTTTGAATATTATTTTAAGATATTTTATAGACTAAAAATAATAAAAATATAAAAATTTTAATATTTTAAAATGATTTAAGAAAATATCTATGATGATGTATTTAAATATATGGTCTCTTGGTATAAGATAAATTAAAATTTAAAAGGTTAATTAATATTTAATATGTTTTATATGTTTTTTAAGAAATTAAAATAGCATTTGGGTATTTTGGCCAAGCCCAAACTAAATTGTTCTTGGCTTGAAATTTTTCGTGCTTATTTGAGCTGTCCTGAATAAGTCCAAACATGAAAAATATAACATTTTGTAAAGCCCAAATTAGGCTCATGTTAGTTCATTGAGTTTAACCTGAATTACCAACTCTAAAAATAAAAAGGTTGTGAGTAAGAGGGAGAGAAATAAATTTTAAATAAACTTAATGTCATTTTTTCTTTATTTGAAAAATATTTCAAGAAAAATTATAATTTTGATCTTTTAATTTTATAAAAGATTTTTTATGCACACAAATATATTTTATCGCAAGTGTACGGTTTGTAAATTACTAAGTGGCAAATCAAGGTCAATCCCGCAAGGAATCAAGTCAATTGATAATTAGGCAATGTCTCATATTCACCCAAATAAGCATAAGTAAGATGTGGTAGTAAGGGTTTAAGCTCTAAAGTTAGTACTTGTTCAATTGAAGGTTTTAAAGAAGGAGCTTACCTAGATTCCAACTCTAGAGATTCAAATATCCTTCTTCAATTGAGAAATTTTGAAATTGCTTGAAGTAATTTCTTGCATTCAATAATACCATTCTTTTCAATCACATCACTTCCCAACAATATAGGATGTAATGAGTCTTTTACAACAAATGACTTTAAAGTTCCTCAAACTACCTCATCTAGAATATCTATAAACAAATTTCAAATTCTCTAGGATACTTCATCGCTTTATGCATGTTGAAGCTAACTTCTTCATCATTTACTCTAAGTTTGATTTCTCCTCTCTCAACATCAATGAAAGCTCATGTTGTAGCTGAAAATGGCCTACCCATAATAAGTGAAAGATTTCTATTTTCATCACAATCTAAAACAATGAAATTAACAAGGAAAATAAATTTATCAATCTTGACCAAAACATCCTCAATTTTATCTTTAGAAAATGCCAAACTTCTATTAGCTAATTGAAGATATACTAAAGTGGGACTAGCTTCACTAACTTGTAATTTTCTAAACACAAAAGGTGACATCAAGTTGATACTTGAGTCTAAATTACATAATGCCCTACCTTGAAATTTATCTCCAATCACATATTATTTGATAAACAACCTAAATCATGGCATGAGGTAATTTGTTCAAGAGAATAGCACTACACTCTTCAGTAAGTGCAATCATTTCACATTCACTCCTCTTTTTACTCAACATCTCCTTTAAGAATTTAGCATATTAAGGCATTTGTTTCCAAAGCCTCGATGAGAGGAATGTTGATGTGCAATTGCTTGACAATTTCTAAGAATTTTTTATATTGCTCTTCTAATGCATTTTTTTGAAATTTTTGAGAAAATGGTCATAGTGGCGCCTAAGTAAGATGATCACTAGTCGATCCCTTTTTCTTATATGTTATCACTGCCTCCTTTGGAGACTCCTTCTCAATGTCATCTTCAACAATCATAAGATTAGTCTTACTCAGTTTAATCAACCTTTGACTTAAGTGTAGACTCAAATGTAAGAGGGAAAATTTCAGATAATTGATTTCCACTTCTTAAGGAAATTGCCTTGCACTCCTCATTTCCTTCTCTATGAAGATTAGTCTCTATATTGCTTGGCAATCCCCCTTTATGAAGTAAAGTCACTGTAGTTGCAATTTTCTCTACTTGAACCTTTAGATTCTTCAAGGATGAATCAATTCTCGCATTACTGGTAGCTTATTCTTGATTGCCCTTAATTTTAGAACCCATCAACTTAGCCATCATATCTTCTAAGTCAAATTTTGGCTCTTGAATAAGAATAGATCACTTTTTAACTTAAGGAAAACTTGGAGGAGCAGTTGCTTTACATCAGAAGATAAAGCTTGACTAAAGGTAGCATTATTTTTCTAAGAAAAGTTGGAATTCTGATACTACTAAAGATTGTAAGTGTTTAAAAATGGGTTGACTTAATTATTACTATGATAATTCCCAGCCTAATTTACCTTCTTAGTTTGTTAAGAAACATGGCGTTATTTAGTGGCATGTGTGTCTCCATAATAATCACACTGAGCCTATATGGTGTGAGCTCCCATGGGCCTACTATTGTTTTGATCAACACCTGCTTCTAGACAATCAAATCTTTTACTCAAATTCTGAAGCATAACTACCACTTATGAAGACGAAGAGTCATTAGCAACTCTTTTTAATGGTCTTTTAGGTCTTGTCTCATTGTTATTTTAGATGTAGGTAACACTAAGATCATCCAAATAGTTCCAAACATAGTTCACCAGTTGCTTCGTAATCCTATCATTAGTGATTGAATTCATTTCAAACTTGGATTTAGGTGTCAACCAACTACCAAAGCCTTGAATCAAAACCCATTTCTCTAGATCTTATAAGTCTTATGTTGAGGAATCTACTTCAGTAATTGCTTAAACTTTTCTTAAGCTTCATATAAATATTCACCAAACTGTTGATTAGAATTTAAAATGTTAGCTCAAGCATCGACCATCTTGTTATGTGGGAAGAATCTAGACCTGAACTTACTTTCCATTTCTTCTTATGATGAGACATTACCCTTGTCCAAATTGTTAAGCCAATCCTTAGCTTTCTCTTATAAAGAATAAGAAGAATTGGAGATGGATGACATCTTGAGAAACTCCATTTTGCTTGAATGAGTTACATAGATCAAGAAAGTTGACTAAATGTCTATTAGGGTCCTCATATTGATTTCCTATAAATTGCCTATTC